TCGGTCCCGCCCCCGCCGGGACCCCGCGGGGAGGATGCGGGGGGAGTCCGCGATCCGCGCGTGCCGGTGATCCACGCGTGGTTCCTGTGGCTGGTCCTGGAGTGTTTGGGATCCATGCACACTCCCCGCGGATGCTCCGGGTGTGTCTGTGCTCCCCGAGGGTGTTCCAGGGGTTTCCGCGATCCACGCGTGATCCCCGTGGGTGTATCATGAGTGTCTGTGATCCACACGTGCTCTCCGTGGGTGTTTTAGGGGTGCCCTGGATCCATGCGCGCTCCCCGTGGGTGTTACAGGGATGCCCGGGATCCACGTGTGCTCCCCCGTGGGTGCTGCATGGTTGCCGGTGCTCCACACGTACTCCCGTGGGTGTTGCGTGGGTGCCTGTGCTCCATCTGTGCTCCCGTGGGTGCTGCTGGTGCCGGATGGTGCCAGTGCCTGGGATTCCTCCGGGAGCAGCCCGGAGAGCTCAGGCCTGGGCTTGCCTCTGAGTTTTAGCAAAACTTCACCATTTCAGCAAATATCACTGGAGAAATTAATTTTTTATCTCCTGTGAAAAGCCCAGAACTGTCATCGGCTTCTGCTCCCGCTGCTCCTGCACCGGCTCTCCCAGCCCGACTGGATTTGGTGGCAGGTCTGGGCTGCACCATCCCAAAAACCTGCCGGAGCTGCGGGCAGCCACAGCTGGACCCTGTACTTATCCCATTAGGGCGCGCGGCAGCCTCCCATTGAGGTTTCCTGGGGCGGTTTGCCTGCCTGGCCGTGCCGGGATGTGAGGTCCGTGGTGGGATGTGAGGTTCGTGGTGGGATGTGAGGTCCTGTGTCGGGATGTGAGGTCCCGTGCCGGGATGTGAGGTCCACACTGGGATGGAGACGCTCTGGCCCTTTGTTGAGGCATCACCGGAGAGCACATTCAGTGGCCTCGGTGCACACGTCCTGCCCCCACGCCAGCTCAGGCTGTCCTTCCGGAGCTGTTCCTGCCTCGCTGGCGCTGGATCCAGGCTGTAACCTCTGCTGGAGCTGTTGGGGTGCAGCCGAGTCCCCCCACCCCAGCAGCAGGGACAGTCTTGGAGGCTTGCAGATGACGTCATAGGATGACCTCATGCAGATGATGTCACCCAAATAACATGTAGATGTCTTCCCCCTGGTGTGCTGGCGGAGGTGCCATGTGCCTGGCTGTGCCGGCTGTAGTGCCAAATTGGAACTAGGTGCCAGTGGCTGGGCAGTGGGCTGCGATCCTCACTGGGGTCTTTGTTGGGGACCTGGCTGGGGTCATTACCAGGGACCCAGCTGGGGACACTGACCTCACCAGAGTCCATACCTGGAACCTCGTCACTCAGAGTGCCATCCCCCAAAACCAGGGACTGTGCCTCTGCCCCCACTTCCCTCCAGCTACCAACTGCGGCCCCTCAATCCCCCAGTCCCCCTGATCCCTCCTGTCTCCCGCAGGTCCCCAGGCACAGACGCTGCCAACGGTGACAGCCATGCCCTAGGGAAGCCCCACCATGAGCCAAAGCGGGGCCTCACGCCTGGCCGGCTCCCCGCCGCTGCCGGGGGGCTCACTGCTGGCCCTGCTGGCCCCCGAGTCCTCCCCGTCCCCCCCCAGCGGGACGCCCTCTCCGGGGCCCCCACCGGCG